AGCTGCGGGCTCTCCTCGGGCTGATGCCCTTCTCGTGCTCGGACTGGTGGCCGAGATGGAATCGACTAGCGAGCGCCAGTGACGCCTCGGAGTGGGGCTACGTGGTCTCCAACAGCCTCTGGAGCGATGAAGAGGTGAAGGCTGCTGGCCGCGCTCGCGAGAGGGACTGCTCCCGCGACGTCCGAGCGGCGCAGGCGCGGGAGCGCGTGCTGACGGCTGCTGGAGTTCGGGAGCTCGCGGGGCTGCCGCCGCCGGCCGAGGTGGAGCTTCCAGGAGAAGACTTCGACGGGCTGGAGGCCGCGATGGCCTCTGGCGAGTACGAGGTCAGCCCGAGCCTCCCCGAGGCGGCCTCGGCCGGGCTGGCGCACGGCCGCTGGGCGCCCAGGTTCTGGGGTCCCTGGATACGGGAGCAGCCCATCTTGGCGCTGGAGGCGCGAGCGCTGGCGATGTCGCTTCGACGCGTGGCGTTGAGCTCGTTCGGAAAAGATGTCCGCCAAGTCCTCCTCGTTGATAACATGAGCGTGCGTCTCAGTTTTGGTCGATTCAGAAGCAGGGATTTCAAGTTGTTGAATCAGATTCGCGCGTTCGCTGCCTACTGTCTCGCTCAAAATGTAAAAACCACTGTCCGCTGGGCACCCAGCGGGCTTAATAATTCGGACGAGCCAAGTCGAATATGCGATCGGTCTCCTAGCGCATCGTACCTTCTCACCCGCCACCTGGATGTCAATGCCAGTATGCTTGGGGGGGGGGGGGGGGGGGGGGGGCGCAGCTGATCTTGGCAAAGGAGTTTAAAGTGCACACCAGCAGCAGTGAGATTATCGACGGCAAGGAATGCGAACAGAACCATCAATGTCGTTCTCAACGTTTCGTCAGTCTTTCGGCTCAGCGCCCTGCTGACTACAGCCTGGCCCACGAGGTGGGCAGTCCCGCGGCGGCCAGAGATCCAGCGGCGGCCGCGGGAAGGACAACGGCCGAGATCGACGCTGGAGACTCGGCGCGAGGCACCGAGCTGTAGGGCGGCTCAGGCTGCGGCTCGACGGCCGGTAAGACGCCGCTGGCCAATCTCGATGGCGAGCTGGCTGTGCCTCATCGGCGACGCGACCGTAGAGCTCGGCAGGCAGCCGGCCGCGATCGCGAGTGGGCGGCGCGCGCTCGCGGCCGAGGCCGCGTTGCAGGCCAGGCCGCGGGCGTCGCAGAGTCAGGCAGACGTACTTCGTCGCGGCGCTCTCCCGAGCTGTGTCGCGAGTCGGGCGACGACGGGCAGCAGACGAAGTCCGCGCTGGGCCCAGCGGCAGGATCGGCTGCGGCCGACGCGAGCGGGCCCGCTGACGACCGGCGCCTGGAACGCCGGCGCGAGCGGCGGTTCCCGAGGGCGCGACCGCGCCACGGGGCACGGCGCGGCGTGGCCAACGCCGAGGCAACGGGCTGCGCGACCGCCCGCTCGGTCGACAGCGCGCACAGCGACAGGGCCGCCAAGGTCGCGGCCATGGCTGAGCCTGCCAAGGTCACAGGCGTTGCCCGTCCCGACCCGCTGAAGAGAACCAAGGGCGCGCTCGCGGCGCGTGCTGCGTGCCGGCCGAGCGAGGCCGACGGCCTCCAGACGGCCGCCGACGGCGGGCCGCTGCACCTGGCGCCTGGTCCGCAGGCTGGCCGATCAGACGGCGGCAGGATCACGCCGAAGCTGGCCGAGTCTCTCGCCGGCAGCGCGGTCGCGACCCTGGACAGCGCCGACAGCGCACAGGCGGTCGCGGCGCAGAACCCAGAGACGGGCGGCGCGTCAGCCGTTGCAGCGCCCCCGCGGCCCATCGCCAGGCGGCCGACTGGCCGCCTGCGCGAGGCAGCTCGAGGGCATCTCGATGCCGGAGCTGAGCGGGTTTCAGCTCGGGGGCCGTGAAGGCATTTGAGTCGGGAAGGGGCGCTACTTCGCGGATGTCGTCTGCGGAGAGGGGGGCTGCGGACGGTCGGCCGAGCTTGCTGGGTCCCCAGTTCGATACTTCGACCTCATGAACGGTGCCAAGGGCGACGCGTTTCGGCCAGAGGTGATGAATTGGCTGATCGCCGATATACAGGCAGGGAAAGTGCTTGGCATGATGATGGGGCCGCCCTGTACGACGTTGAGTATCGCCAAACACCGTTCAAAGACGTTGAGGACGCAGGAGTTCCCGATGGGTGTTCTTGAATTGCGCAGACAGGATAGGGCTATTGTGAAGCAAGGGAATCAGCTGACGCGTGCCGCGGCGCGGCTTGCGCGTGAGTGTCACGCGCATGGAGCGCGGTGGATTATCGAAAACCAACACTCGTTTTATCTGTTCAAAACGCCCGCCATGATGGCGCAAGGCGAGATGGAGGGAGTTTTCCAGGCCGCTTCAGATTTTTGTCAGTTCGGCACTCGATGGAGGAAAACCACGCGGTTTCCTTGCGGCCAGGTGGAAGAACCCGACCTTTCGCGCCTCTGTCGCCGGTGCCATCCAAGCTAGGGGAATGTGTTCTCGCACCGGGACCGCCCACTTCGCCCTGGAGGGACACGCCCCCAACGGGGCCAACTGGACCCGCATCGCACAGGCCAACCCGGCCTCTTTGTGCCGAGCGCTAGGACAGATCTTACTTGCTCATACTAGGGCCACGCGGCCCCAGAAAAGCTTTACTATCCAAGAGAACTTTCGCTTCCGGGGATGACTCGGGATTTGAATTTCAGGACGAATGAATCGTTTGTGTGTGTCTGTCGCCCGTCGCTTTCGCATCGCGCTGCCGCAACGCTCTTATTAGACATATCGCCGCGATTGTAAAACTTGTTATATTATGGGAGTGCGGGCACTGTAACGATTTAGCAGTGGCGCAGTTGTTTCGATCCCCTCTTTATTTCCATCGCCATTAAGGGTCAAGTTGCTCCCCACCCCCCACATACAGGTGTCAGTTTTTATGTTCGGGATTTGTTTCCCAAGCCGAATTAATTATATGTTGTGTATGTCGCCCGTCTTTTTCGCATCGCGTTGCCGCAACGTTCTTACTAGACATATCACCGCTATTGTAAAACGTGCTCTATCATGATGATGATGATGATGGTGATGGTGATGGTGATGATGATGATGATGATGATGATGCTGATGATGATGATGATGATGATGGCGATGACGATGACGATGACGATGACGATGCGGATGATCATGCTCATGCTGATGATTATGTTGATGGTGATGATGGTGGTCATGATGATGGTGGCGATGGTGACTTTGATGATGATGCTGATGCTGATGCTGATGCTGATGCTGGTGGTCATGACGTCGGCGATGATGATGGTGATGATGATGAAGATGATAATGATGACTGGGGAGGGCAGAGGCAGGGATGGGAGGAGTGAGGAGTGTTTTGTTTTTTTGCTGAGGGCCACTGCCAGTGAAGCTCCCGAAGAGATTGCCGAGGAGGGAGGTGTCAGGAGGGGGGAGGAGGAAGGAGTGAGGGAGACGCGGGGCGCTGTCTCCTCAAAACGAGGACCCAACACCGCAGGATGGTTGGGCAAAGTCCCGTCGTGACTCCTTCGCGACGCGAAGGGGGCCTGGGCCTGGGGAGGCACGCCGCAGCAAAGAGTCTCCTCCTCCTCCTCCTCCTCCTCCGAGGAGGAGGAGGAGGAGGAGGAGGAGGAGGAGGAGGAGCAAGCAGGCGTGACAGTGCTACGTTTCAGGGCCTCCAAGATTTCTGGGATTCCCCGCAGTTCCTTTCGCCCCGCGCGGGCTCCACAGACGAGGGCCGCTGCACACAGTCAGCCCGCACAGGGAAGGACGGGCAGCATTCCCGAGGGCACCTGCCCTTGCAGCCTCGCCTCGGTCCATCCTTGGCCACTCTCGCTGGCCGCGCCCCGCTCGAAGAGCTTCGGACTGTCCAGGGCCCCTTGGCACCCTCATCGCGCATCCTTGCTGTGCGGGCCCACTGCACTCGTGGAGCTCCTGGAACGCACCCTGAGTGAATCGTGTCGTGACGTCGTCCTCGCCCCAGTCATTGAGGGAGGGGGGGGGGGTGCGGGCGGGCGACCGCGGCACGCGGGCGGCGGGAGCTCGAGAGCGGGGCGGGGAGCCGCGTGCCGCCGGCTTCCGCCGCGCGCACGCGCGCAGAACCCCGACGCCATCGCGCCGTGGAAAAACATCACGACGGGAGGGCTTCACAAAGTTCCCGGGGGATCCCCGAGGCCTCCTCGCCTCGGGATGTCTTCCAGCGGCGGCGCCTCGCCGAGGGCCTGCCCTGGCTGCCCCCGAGTCGTCTCGTAGTAAGGGCCGCCGGAGGCCCCGAGTCGTGGCCGGAAGGATGTCGTCCTCGCGCCGTCGACAAGAATTGCGGCGGGAGACTTTGGGCCGCTTTGTGCTTCTTGGGCTCCCGTGCCCGGGCTTCCCAGGATGCCCCCTGCCGTCAGCTTCCCCGCAGCCCCGCGGCTGCTTTGTGAGTGGGCCGGCCGGCTAGCGGCGCGTCTTGGAGCTCATTAGGCTTGCCCGTCGGCCCGGACACCCTGTTCGCCGCGCGCGTTCTTCGCTCGTGGCCGCGACCGAAAAGTTTCTTGGGCTCTTACAGGGCCCCAGTGCCGTCAAAAGATCGACCTGGGCTGAAAATCTGGTCCCTGAGAAGGGGTCCAGGCCTCTGAGGAGGCATGGTGTGAGGAAAACATTACGTCGGATATCACCAGCATGCACCAGCATACGCTACTGGCACGAGCACCCAGCGTGCATGACTCGAGACGGCAAGCGATCGCACACGCAGCCACAAGCGCAGCAACACATACGCATGCGATTCGAATCCGAAGCGTACAAGAGCGTGTTCCGGTCAGGAGGAGGTGGAGGAGATTGACAGACGCACGGACGAGGGAGGACGGAGGAACACTATATGTTTTGGAAGAAAAAAGATTGCACAGTTTGTGCAGGGGGAGTGTGCGACGTTGCGAAGGTTGTGCAAAGCCTTTTGTTTTTGCTCATTTGTTCTTCCATCACAGATAGTAGGAGGAGAAGGTGCTGGCAGCCATGTATTATTTCGACGAGCCTCTGCGGCCCTCCGTTCACGCGTACGCCGTGGTGATCGCGACCTGCGCGAAGGCCAAGAGGCCGGAGGAGGCCCAGCAGCTACTCGAGGAGACCCAGAGATAAAACGAAGCGCGTCCGGGCGTGACGATGAGCTACCGCGTTGGGGGGCCCCGCTGCCAGCCCACGCCAAGCCAGCCAGGGCACGGCGGGCAGCAACGAGCACGGGCGTTTAGCCGTGGCGTGGTGCCCAGCGCAAGGGCCAGAGCGTTCCCCACGCGGCCTGGTGAGCACACGCCCACTGCCGCCCCGCCTGACATCTGGCTTCGCCCCCCCTCTTCTTCTTCTCCAGACGAGACAAGTTGTACCAAAAACGGGGAAGGGGGGGAAGAGGGCCTGCTCCCAAGTGATTCATCGTCAACGTTCGTGTCGAGCGCATCGGTCTGAAAGATCATCGTGATCGTTTCCGTGCCTACCCCGTGGATTTGCAGGGAGAAGGACGAAGGAGGAGGTGGATGAGGTTCGAAGCTTTCCTTGGCGTCCCCCCCGCCCCTCCCTGCGTGTAGCGCAGTGTCCCCAGACCCCACACACATGTTTGTCGGATCGCGTTCAGACCCAGACAGTCAAGGAGATGCTGGAACTCGGCATGGAGCCAGACACCCAGACCTACACCGCCCTCGTCAAAGCGTTCGCCAGGACTGGGAAGATGGAATTTGCCACGCAGGCATTGAAGGAGATGCGCCAGCGCAACATTGAGCCGGGCATCTCCACATTCTTGCACGTGCTGCGGTCGTGCGAGGAGGAGGGGAAGTGGGTGGTGGCCTTCCAGGTATTCGAGGAGCTGCTGCAGGCGGGCATCCTGCCCGATCGTAAAGTATTCAACACCCTGATGTTCACATGCGGCAACGCCGGCGAATTCGCGAGGGCAATCCAAATATATGGCCAGATGCTCCAAGTCGATGTCAAGCCTGACCTTTTCACCTACCTGGGCTTGATCAACGCATGCGCCAAGGTGAACCAGTACACCGAGGCGATCAGGTTCGTGAAAGAGCTCGACGAGAGCGGTATCCCGTTGACTGAGAACGCCACCTGTGTTGTAATGGACGCCTACGTCAAAAATAGCATGCCGAACAATGCCCTAGATCGCTTTGACGACTACATGGTCGACGCGGCGCTGCCGATGAACAGGAGCCAAAGAGGGGCAGGGCGGGGTTGGGGGTGCTAGCCTGCGGGGCTGACGAAACTATTTCCCCCAGCAGTGCTTGCACTTATGGGTTCTTATTTCGGTTATAAGAAACTGGGCCGTGTCTTCGGTCTGGCGGCTATTTGGCCGCCGTCGCCGCCCGTCGCCGCCTCGTCGCCGCCCGTCGTCTGGGCCGTGTCTTCGGTTTGGCAGCTATGTGGCCGCCGTCGCCGCCCGACGTCCGGGGCTGTGCGTTGGCGTCCATGTTGTCGCCGTCGCCGCCCCGTCGCCGCCTCGCATAGATTCTGCTTTCTAAAAAGAGAATAGACTCTACCCCCCCCCGGACTAAACGCTTCCCCCTGGGAGATTATATATATATATATACATATATATATATATATATATCTATATATATATATATATATATATATATTCTGCACACTCGTCCATCCTAAATATGAAATCATTTCATCCCAGCTAGGCCGGTTTCCCCCCCCTGAGGTTCCCTTGTATAAAAACACTATGCGGTGACATTTTTGGTTCTAACATAACACTTGTTCACGAATCATTTGCCAAAACTGGGACGAAGTGCACACGCGCGCGTCGTCGCGCGCATGCCGAAGTCCTTCAAAAACCTTCGGTGCTGGAAGGATTTCGCAATCGAGTTTCCAAAAGAACATACAAAAACACAGGGTTTCGCAACACTGATTTGCTAAAAAAGCTTCCGCGCGTGCTCTTGCGAAATCTGAAGAAAACCATGGGTTTTTCAAGATTTTCACAAAATGCTACCAAACGGGCTTCGCGCGCGCATGTCGAAATCTGTCGAACGCCCTTGCGCGTGTGCCGTCGCGAGAATCCTCTGCAAAAAATGAGACGAAGTGCAGACGCGCGCGTCGTCGCGCGCGTATGCCGAAATCCTTCAAAACCCATCGGTTTCGGAAGGATTTCAAAATCGCGCGTCCAAAAAACCTACAAAAAACCAAGGTTTCGCAACACGGATTTTCAACAAAAGCGTGCGCGCGCGCTCTTGCGTCGTCGTCGTCGTGGTCGCCGTCCTCCCTCCTCCCCCGTCGTCGTCGTCGTCGTCGCCTACGTCGTCCTCTGTCTTTCCTCGTGCTCGTCGTCGTCGTCCTCTTGGCGTCGCGGTTGTTTCCGTCGTCGTTGTCGCCGTGGTCGTCCTTCCTCCTCCTCCCTCGTCGTCGTCGTCCGTCGTCGGCGTCTCGTCGTCGTCCCTCCTATTTCGTCGCCGTCGTCGTCGTCGTCGTCGTCGTCTTCCCTCCTCCCTCGTCGTTGCCGTCGTCGGCGTCGCCGTCCTGCCTCCTTCTTTGTCGTTCGCGTCGTCGCCGTCCTCCCTCCTCCCTCGTCGTCGTCGTCGTTGTCGCCGTCGTCGTCCTCCCTCCTTCCTCTCGTTGTCTTCGTTGGCGACGTCGTCGTCGTCTTCGTCGTCGTCGGCGTCGTTGTCGTCTTCGTCGTCGTCGACGTCGGCGTCGTCGTCGTCGCCGACGTCGTCGTCGTCGTCGTCGTCGGCGTCGGCGTCGTTGACGTCGTCGTCGTCGTCGGTGTCGTCGTTATCGTCGTCGTCGGCGTCGTCATCGTCGTCGTCGTTGTCATCGTCGTCGTCGTCGGCGTCGGTGTCGTCGTCGGTGTCGTCGTCGTCGTTGTCGGCGTCGTCGAAGTCGTTGGAGACGTCGTCGGTGTCGTCGTAGTCGTCGGCGGCGTCGTCATCGTCGTTGTCGCTGTCGTCGTCGGCGTCGCTGCTGTTGCCAAGTGCCATGTGGTACCCACCGTCACGGTCTTGAGAGATTTTGCAAACCAAGTTGCGGGTGGGGGGGTGGGATGTTTGCGCGAGCAGTGGAGTGGACAACTCACTGCGAACAGAAATTAATTATCCTTGATTCTCCTTTCTAAAAAGAGAATAGACTCTACCCCCCCCCCCTGGACTTAACGCTTCCCCTTGGGATAGTATAATTTCATACATATATATATACATATATATACATATATACATACATATATATATATATATACAACTATATATATAATGCACACTCGTCCATCCTAAATATGAAATCAGATCATCCCAGCTAGGCCAGTTCCCCCCCCCCCCTGAGGTTCCCTTGTATAAAAACACTATGCGGTGACATTTTTGGTTCTAACATAACACTTGTTCAAGAATCCCTTGCAAAAAATGAAACGAAGTGCACACGCGCGCGTCGTCGCGCGCGCATGCCGAAATCCTTCAAAAACCTTCGGTGCCGGAAGGATTTCGCAATCGAGTTTCCAAAAAACATACAAAAATACAGGGTTTCGCAACACAGAGTTGCTAAAAAAGCTTCCGCGCGTGCTCTTGCGAAATCTTAAGAAAACCATTGGTTTTTCAAGATTTTCACAAAATGCTACCAAACGGGCTTCGCGCGCGCGCATGTCGAAATCTGTCGAACGCCCTTGCGCGTGTGCCGTCGCGAGAATCCTCTGCAAAAAATGGGACGAAGTGCAGACGCGCGCGTCGTCGCGCGCGTATGCCGAAAACCTTTAGAACCCATCGGTTTCGGAAGGATTTCGAAATCGCGCGTCCAAAAAACCTACAAAAACACAAGGTTTCGCAACACGGATTTTCAACAAAAGCGTGCGCGCGCGCTCTTGCGTCGTCGTCGTCGTCGTCGTCGTCGCCGTCCTCCCTCCTCCCGCGTCGTTGTCGTCGACGTCGTCGCCTGCGTCGTCCTCTGTCTTTCCTCGTTTTCGTCGTCGTCGTCCTCTTTGGCGTCGTGGTCGTTTCCGTCGTCGTTGTCGCCGTGGTCGTCCTTCCTCCTCCTCCCTCGTCGTCGTCGTCGTCGTCCGTCGTCGGCGTCTCGTCGTCGTCCCTCCTATTTCGTCGCCGTCGTCGTCGTCGTCGTTGTCGTCGTCGTCGTCGTCTTCCCTCCTCCCTCGTCGTTGCCGTCGTCGGCGTCGCCGTCCTGCCTCCTTCTTTGTCGTTCGCGTCGTCGCCGTCCTCCCTCCTCCCTCGTCGTTGTCGTTGTCGCCGTCGTCGTCCTCCCTCCTTCCTCGTTGTCTTCGATGGCGACGTCGTCGTCGTCTTCGTCGTCGTCGGCGTCGGCGTCGTTGTCGTCTTCGTCGTCGTCGACGTCGGCGTCGTCGTCGTCGCCGCCGTCGTCGTCGTCGTCGTCGTCGTCGGCGTCGGCGGCGTTGACGGCGTCGTCGTCGTCGGTGTCGTCGTTATCGTCGTCGTCAGCGTCGTCATCGTCGTCGTCGTTGTCATCGTCGTCGTCGTCGGCGTCGGTGTCGTCGTCGTCGTCGTCGGTGTCGTCGTCGTCGTCGTCGTTGTCGGCGTCGTCGAAGTCGTTGGAGACGTCGTCGGTGTCGTCGTAGTCGTTGTCGGTGGCGTCGTCATCGTCGTTGTCGCAGTCGTCGTCAGCGTCGCTGTTGTTGCCAAGTGCCATGTGGTACCCACCGTCACGGTCTTAAGAGATGTTGCAAACCAAGTTGCGGGTGGGTGGGTGGGATGTTTGCGCGAGCAGTGGAGTGGACAGCTTCAAGACGGTCAAAGTGGCTAAAAAGAGAATAGACTCTACCCCCCCCCCCAGATTTAACGCCTCCCCTTGGGATAGTATAATTTCATATATATATATATATATATATATATATTATGCACACTCGTCCATCCTAAATATCAAATCATATCATCCCAGCCAAACCGGTTAGAGCTCCCCCCCTCCCCCCTCCCCCTCCTCCCCTCCCCCTCTCCCCCCCCCCCTCCCTTCTCCCCCCCCCCCCCCCCCCACCCCCCCCCCCCCCACCCTCTCCAATCCTCCCCGAACCTCCCCCCACCCCCCCCCTCCCCCCCACCCCCCCCTGAGGTTCCCTTGTAAAAAAACCCAGCAGCGGTGGCCATTTTGTTGTTAGAAACAAAAACACGTGTTCACGAACCTTGCAAAAAAATGGGACGAAGTGCACACGCGCGCGTCGTCGCGCGCGCATGCCGAAATCCTTCAAAAACCTTCGGTGCCGGAAGGATTTCGCAATCGAGTTCCCAAAAAACATACAAAAACACAGGGTTTCGCAACACTGATTTGCTAAAAAAGCTTCCGCGCGTGCTCTTGCGAAAACTTAAGAAAACCATAGGTTTTTCAAGATTTTCACAAAATGCTACCAAACGGGCGTCGCGCGCGCATGTCGAAATCTGTCGAACGCCCTTGCGCGTGTGCTGTCGCGAGAATCCTTTGCAAAAAATGGGACGAAGTGCAGACGCGGTCGCGGGCGTACGCCGAAATCCTTCAAAACCCATCGGTTTCGGAAGGATTTCGGAATCGCGCGTCCAAAAAACCTACAAAATCCCAAGGTTTCGCAACACGGATTTTCAACAAAAGCGTGCGCGCGCGCTCTTGCGTCGTCGTCGTCGTCGTCGTCGCCGTCCTCCCTCATCCCGCGTCGTCGTCGTCGTCGCCTACGTCGTCCTCTGTCTTTTCTCGTGTTCGTCGTCGTCGTCCTCTTTGGCGTCGTGGTCGTTTCCGTCGTCGTTGTCGCCGTGGTCGTCCTTCCTCCTCCTCCCACGTCGTCGTCGTCGTCCGTCGTCGGCGTCTCGTCGTCGTCCCTCCGATTTCGTCGCCGTCGTCGTCGTTGTCGTCGTCGTCTTCCCTCCTCCCTCGTCGTTGTCGTCGTCGGCGTCGCCGTCCTTCCTCCTTCGTCGTCGTTCGCGTCGTCGCCGTCCTCCCTCCTCCCTCGTCGTTGTCGTCGTTGTCGTCGTTGTCGCCGTCGTCGTCCTTCTTCCCTCGTCGTCGCCTTCGTTGGCCTCGTCGTCGTCGTCTTCGTCTTCGTCGGCGTCGGCGTCGTTGTCGTCGTCGAAGTCGTCGGAGACGTCGTCGGTGTCGTCCTAGTCGTTGTCGTCGGTGTCGTCGTAGTCGGTCTGAACAGGTTTTGCAAACCAAGTTGCGGGTGGGTGGGTGGGATGTTTGCACGAGCAATGGAGAGGACAGTTTCAAGACAGTCAAAGTGGATTCTCCTTTCTAAA